TATATATATATATATATATATATATATATATATATATATATATATATATATATATATGTATATATATATATATATATGTATATATATATATATATGTATATATATATATATGTATATATGTATATATATATATATATGTATATATATATATATGTATATATATATATATATATGTATATATACCCCTCTAAATATTTAAATGATCTTCTCGTTAATTAAATAGAACTTAAATAGTATTTTTAAATTTTTTTAGAGTTGAGCCATGTGCAAATAAGATTTTCTAAAATCATATTGTATTCATCTATTATCTTAAAAATTATATCCACAAACACCGATCCTTCGATGGGACTAATTATTTGGATATCGATTATATCAAATACTTATAAAGATAACAAAAATATATTCAGGTATAATTTTGACAAGAAGCTTACTATTCGAAGCCTCATATTTACTATTGACAATCTCATTATCTTTTAAAAAATAATAAAAATATTATTTTATTATTTATAATTTTAATATTATTGATCTTATCCATTTATTTCTTCTCTAATATTATTTTAATATTATTGATATTATTTTATTATTTATAATTTTAATATTATTGACATCGTCATTTGTCGCCTATGTTCGATGACAACATTGCTTATTGCCACCATCGATTCTGCTCCACCCTTTTCATATCATCCTCAAAAGAAGAAGGAAAAAAAAAGAGTAAGAGAACAAAGAAGATATTTATGTATATTTATAATAAAATACTTTCAAAATATTAATTTTTTTTAGAAAAAATACATTTAAAAATTATAAATAATAAAGAGAGAATTAGCAATAGTAATTTCATCATGAAAAACATAGTTGCTTGGACACCCTAAAGCTGCACACATAGAATTGTATGAAGACTCATAAAACACTACACTCGTGTGGCTATATAGAAGCCGCAAAGAGATAAAAATACACATAAATATATATTGAAAATATCAGCTACATTTAGATCTCATCTTATGACTGGTCACAAAGGTGGTGACGATATATTCACTCAAAATGTTATCAAAATTCCTTTGTTTTATTTCTCTTTGAATCTAATACAAATTGACACAAAAAAAAAACCCGTTGGCATCACTCAGCAAAAGATTGCTGTCACATGCATCTCTTTGGCTGCAAGAATCTCGTACCAAGTATGCTGGTCCTGCAGGAAATAAGAATGTGTACTAAGAGAGCTCTGAAATCACACGATCACATTTCTCTTCCAAAATTTTCACAGCTTTCATGAATAGCTCTTCTGGCGAGAAAGCTCCAGTTGATTCAATGGTAACTGCACAGAGTTAAGATGGATGAGAACCAACAGATTCGTTCAGAAAAAAAGAAAAAGCAAATGAAGCAACAAACATTTTGTAGGAAAATTTGAAGACCTTCAGTTGTAACCGCGGAAAAAAAATACAAAGCCTTGACTCTGGGTTGTGCTTCTTAATTTAGTTATCTCATGTTTTCAGAGGTCGAATAACTCACATAGCAAAAGCATAATATCAGTTCATAGCTGCAACTCTGAGAGCAGCCATGGTACTTACAGATGAAGTGGTCTTTGACACGTCTCAGTTCCACAAGTTCTTCATTTACCCCACGAACGCATTCTCTGCATAATGTACAGGTACGTGAGTTCGCTACCACTGCCTTCTTCTCACCTGTTCAGGAACAAAAACATTTGACCGATGAACACAAAACATAGAGAACACAATTAATCACAGCATCCTGATGGAATGGATGCTCAACACAAGAAATTTGCGAGCTTGCTCAGAGACAAGTCACAAAACAAGGAATATCACATTCCTGAGGTGGCTAATGAACCTGGACAATGTTATCAACACCAAACACGTACAGCATGCTAGTCTGAGCCATAAAAATATACGATATCACAATGGACAGTTGACTACCAAATTAAAACCCTAGTTAGCACACATCTTAATATGTGAGTATATTTGTGATGCAAGCAGCTACAATTTAACGACAACAGGTTTAAAGATTATCTACAACATCTGGCGTTAAACTTTTTAAAAGAAAGAGACAAATAAATGGTGAGGCCCTTGTGAATGTTCTGGATTGTTTTATCTCCTTTTTCACTTTTTCCTCGCCAATGGAAACATGATTCGTTGTGTTTGTCATGGGGTCTTGCTTTGCTAAATGTAAGTGTTAAAAGGTCTTGTTGAAGTATTGGCATCACATAACAGGAGAACAATTAAAAGAAATCAATACCAACACTAATACCTTAGCAACTAAAACACCAATCGTGCCAGCAGCTAGACACTTCGATATCAGACATGAGAAAGAGGAAAATTTTACTGACCATTCCCAAGGTCTTCAATGTCAAAGACACCAACTGGACATTTCTTTACAAGCTTTTCAGCATCATCACCTTTTACTTCTTTCAATATTACAACCTAATAGAGAATATTAATAAGTATATACTTCTTATTGATGCAAGTTAAAAATAACAAAGGTTCATTATTCACCTCAGGGAGCATCCGGTACCATGCTGTAGCCACAGGAGACCATTTTGCATGTACTTTGCCCATGCCTTTTACAGCATGTGCTTCAAGCTCAATTACCTAGAAGCCAGGTGTCAATAGAAAAGGTCAATATTTGCATATTTAAGTTTTATTTAAAACAAGACAATTCAACTCGCTCGTAGTTATAAGATTTGTGGTAGTGGTAAATGATAAGCATAAGATTCTGAATATCAGACAGTAACTCTAATGGGAAACTACACCAAAAGGAACCTTAAGCTTCAGCATTCTAGGTATAAAAATCAAACTATACAAACTACTAGCCAAAACATTGCTTGACAGCATCAACTACTAGCACAGCAAAACTTCAAATTTGGTCTCTAAGGTGTGTGGCAAAACAGAGTCATCATTATTCAATTTCTTTGCACAAAGCATGATATTTAAATGTCCACACTATTATGGAGACCGCTATGGACCACAAGCAAAATGCTAGTTCATATATGCCCGAGTACCACATAGTGAAAACCAAAAGGAACACATCAAGTAGTCAAAATCATGCTTAGTGGCATTAAGAGAATAAACTGCAACTATGCAAAAGAATCTTAAGGCTGAAAAGACAGAAGATTGGAGAGAATGATAATTACATGGATTCAACTGAATATCCAAAAAGAATAAAAAATCAGAAACATGAGCTCTGTAGGCCTAAAGAGAGAATTACACAGTAGATTTTAGTGCAGCCATCATAAACTTATTTACATTTAATTTACTCATGTGTGCCAAAAATTCCTTTAGAACACCCAACAAGCCCGAACATCCCAAAACTGGTCATACCAAATTTCAAGAGGCTATAAATACAGTATAAGCAGAATGAAAAGGTTATCAGCATTTTCCTCAAGACACAGTCACCAAAGAGAAAATTGAACCAAAATCATCTTATCTAATGCTAGCGCAACTATCAGAATGCATCTCACTTCCCATATTATTTCTTGTACAATACCAGTAATTTGTATAAATAAAAAGCAAAAACGTTTTGTACACAAGAACAGTTGGCCACATCCGAGAAATAGAAATAGTACCTGTCCTGGCCCAAGCTTGGCAAGAATGATATCATCAAACCTTACTCCAAGAGGTTTTTTAGAGAATTCTGGCATGGAATCTTGACTACAGCTGAATGATGTATAGCTTTTTGCTTTTGCAGAACTGTCATAAGTGGTCATTTGAAGTTCACTGCCATTTGGCAGCCACTTCAATTGATCTGACTTCACTGCATTTGAGTAACCAAGACAGATCACAATTACAATCCAAATAATGAAGCACTAATTACTCAAATTTTGAATATTGTAAATGCCCAATAGCATTGTAGAAAATGTAAAGGTCAGGGAGGAAAAAAGGTAAAAGCTAATAGCACATTTGAGATTTTCAACATGGAAAGAATTTGGTTTCCAAAAAGAGAACACAAGACCCAGGTCTATAAGATTGTATAAAAAACTAGAATAAGGTGCAAGCACAAGTCCAACCATAATGCAAGAACAAATAAAAGAATGATTGAACCATATGTTGATTAAGACGTCAGAATAATACCTGTAACTCGTGAACCGCCCTTTTTACATGATACATCCATCTTATAGACAATAGTATTCCGTTCATTTGGAGTGTCATTTTCTATAAAGAAAATACATTCAAATGGATTAAGGAAACATACAAATGGATGGCCAAATCAAAACATACATTTATTTTCACAAACCTGAGAGATATTCAAATAGTCTCGGGTCAGCATTAAGTGGAACAAGGCCCAGCCTGTGGGCCAGCACCTCATCTGCTATCACTGATGTGTTATTGACCATGAGAACCTTCTCGATAGCCATACTAGGGACCTGGAAAGAATTTTGATGACAATCATTGTACCGAAGGCTAAACGAAATTCTAGTGCAAATTAAGCAAACATCAAAACACAGGAACTGAAAAGCAGCATAAAATAAAAGTACAAGCATGTAAAACTAAAATTTGGATAGCTAAGGCGGACAGAAACAAGGAATAAGAAAGCAGAAAAAGTTCTTCAGATAATTTTGATGATCTGTTGATGCCATTCATAACAACAAATGAGAGTTTGCTCGTCACTGTACCTCAGCGATGAGGATCCTCCTGAATGCATTTGCCAGTGAAGCATCAATGCCAACCATATCAAATTCAATCTCATCCTCAGTAAGCCTGACAACTTCAGTCTTAAAGTTCTTGCAGAACTTGTTTGGTCCCAGACTATTGTCAACTCCAATCGATGCATAAGCACCAGAGTACTGAATGCCTTCTGTCTTCAGATGCAAATAGAGATGTCATGCATGAAGCACATCAGTGATACAATCATACAGTGAGATATTAAGTGAAACCAACCACTAAATGAACAAGAAAATCCTGAACATGTGAACCTGTGTAATGAGTATTACTGCAACAATCTTCTTTCAACAATAGAAACAGGTATAAAAAAGTATGAAATTATTTTCCACATCGTTAGTTATAAAATTGTTTATTATTCTAAAGCGTTGAGTATTAAAGCCCAAAAAAATCACTCCAGATTACAAGCCATTGAAGAAATGGCGAGCTGCAGATGGAGAAGGATTAGGACAAGAACATCACACTTCTGCAAGTATAAACATAAGCCAAGAAATGAAGAGGCAATTTTAGAGAAATACAGAATCATAGAAGACCAGAATCAGAAACGTAAACCAAAGTAGAACCAGTAATCAGATGCAGATTGTCATCATGAAGCTGCCAAACTGTGAAGCAGGAGCATTGATCTCTTATCTGATTTTGTTTATGATTTTTTTTCCTAGAATCATGGACATATATTCAGAAAGTCCAAATATATAAGAAGAAGACTAATGAAAGATCGCGTCTAGAAGAAACGGAGCCGCAAGAAGCCATCTTTCTATTGAAATCACGCTAAATGTGACCCTTTGTACATTTCAAACGATCGTCGAAAGGAATATTACACAAACAGGGCAAAAATCTACATAAGGCCGATAACAATTCGATCCTCTTATTCTCTTTGTGATGTGTGTCAATGCCGCAGCCATGTGCATAATTATTTTAACACTGACGCACGGAGTCATGAACAGGAAACACTGATCATCGTTCTTTTACGATCCGTGAAAAAGGCACACAAAGCAGGAAAAAACTCGTGCTTGTTCGTCACGGCGATGCGCAAGTAACCAACAGCGGATTAAGGTAAGCCTTACATGGATCGGGGCGTCGGCCTTGCAGACGACGCGGGTTCGCTGGAGGTGGAGGTGCTCCGGCAGCTGCCCCATCGGCACGTCGGGCATATCAAGCGCCGACACTTTAGTCGACGACGACATGTCTCCCGCTGCTACCACCACTACAACGAGAGAGAGAGAGAGAGAGAGAGAGACGATGGCAGGTTGTCTTATTAGGGTTTTGCCGCTTTGGACGGATGGTTTTGGAGGCAAACGTGGATGTCGGATTCGGGTGAAATCAAAGCAGGTCCGAATAGTGCCCGACCCGCTCTGTGAGGGCCCGAAGATTAATTTTAGTTATATTGGCAAGTTGGCATTCGTGTATATTTTTCTATATTTTTTAGGAATAAAAAATGTTAATTTAATGAACATATACAGCAAATAAGCTCATGTTTTGTTGAATATGTTTAAATGGATAGTAGACTTTATTATTATTATTATTTTTTATTATTATTATTATTATTATTATTATTATTATTATTATTATTATTATTATTATTATTATTATTATTATTATTATTATTATTTCTGATTATTTTTCATTTAATTCATATTAATGTTATAAGCAAAATAAAAGGGGGATTTAATAAGTATCCTCAAACAATATTTGAAAAAATCATCTGAATTTACATATTTTACATAATCGTTAATTATTAAGAACTTATACATTTGATAGGAAATAAGATATATAAACCTTGATCCGCTAATCCACCCAATTGTCCACTATCATCTATATATCCATCCGGAGGCAGTTATTCTTATATCATGTGAGGATATTAGAGTTACAGTGGAATTGCTCATTTGAAAATAAGTTTAGTAATTGATTCACTTATGAAATGTTGGATGATTAATAATACCTTATTGTTAGACAACGATTTTGTGGTCCGTCTAGTCCTTAGACTTAAGACATCAATAATGTCATGTATGAGTATTCAGCTCTTTGATACTATAATTAAAGGTTTGAATGTTCCAAATTTAACACAATCGATAGAGTGGTAGTCAATTTTACGAGAGCAATTGAGTCTCAATATACGATCATTGACTCTTGATGTCGTGATAATATTATCCTATATGCTTTATCCAAAAGGATATGATAAGTCACTTTGTCAGAATGAGTTATGATATGTATGACTCATGGCCAGCTCGATATTGAGCCTAGAGGGTCACACACATATGGTAGGTTTTGCGACAGAGTAGAGATTCGAATATGAGATATCCACTGAAACCCATATTTTATTGGATATCTAGTAAGCCTATACCGTATGGATCATCGGTAGAGAGAATGATAGCCGACCTCATTCATCTACACATTCATATATATATATATATATATATATATATTCGATTGGCATTTGTCGACTAATTCAATTTAAATATTAGTAATTATGATTATCGTATATCTTATTTATCATTCATCAAATATTTTTCTCATTATTTGATCTCTCATGATATTAATTAGAGTTTCAATGTTCGTACACCTTAATATCACATGCTACACCTTTTAATATCATATGGCTGACACATCGAGATAATGCGAGTGACACCACATGATACCTTAATATCACATGGATTACACCGTAATATCACATCTTGAATTTGATACGTCACGATTGTAGATAATTCCAAGAGGAACATATCATCTTTCTTATAATCAACATCGACGCTAAGAATAACGATATTATTGGCTCATTATAAAATGACTATTTAAATATATTATAAAAATATATTTCTTAAAGACATAAGTTGAATAATCCGAATCTAACTTAGATATCATAGGACCATTATCAAAAATACTGTAGTCTTATAAGATTCAATACAAGATTAATGATAAGTGAAATCAACTTGGATCATATATAGAATAACGTTATCGATTGGTTCAAAATCAATATCCAAATCGAATAATTAAAAAATTAACGTTCTAAATATAATTATACATATAGATTAATAATAAAATATTATATATATATATATATATTATATATGATTTGATCACAATGTATATATGCTGATTCCGAACTCATGGTAATTAAATATAAAAAAACATTACCTTCGTATATGCACCGTCACGATATTTAATTTAGAAAAGTGATCAAATCGTCTTCCAACATTAGAGCAACATTTCCAAGGATATAGTTGTGTTAGCTTTGGAGGGTAGATAGATAATATTCCCAACCTTATAGGTTTGTTTATGCACCATTTATTGTTCTTATTCTTCTTCTTCTTCTTCGCTCTTCATAAATGGCAAAGCGAGTCAATGTTCACACGTGACTTTTTCCTTTCACGGATAATAGTTTCATGCTGAGTCTTCATATCAAGTATTTATTTATTTATCTATCGAATTTTAAAATAATACATTAAAAATTATTTCCCAGAAAATTTTAACTAAACAAAAATCAAATTCCAAAAAGCCAGAATTTACATTTAATAAATACTAAGACATAATAAAAATAGAAATAGCTTAATCCATTATAATCGCAATGCAAACAGACATCGGTTCCTTAACCCACAAGACATGGCCTGTTTCCTTAACCCAGAAGGAGGAGAGGGTGGCACATCTGTAAATCGATGGATTATAATTACTTGATTTCATAAATAAAGATTATATTTCTTTAATATCGTTCTATTAACCGTTTCAATACATTTAAGCGGCACTGTCAACAAATGTTGTGACAACAGAAATACTGATAATATAATAGATGTAATTCGAAAAAAGCCCCTCAAAAATAGAAAGCTGCTATTTTGTCTCATAAAAGACACGGTTTTCACAGTACAAAAAAATAAAAATAAAAAATGAAAAAGAGTGAGGCGTCCTCCTTTAGGCCTCTTTGATTTGCGCTCGCCGGCCCTCTCTCTCTTTCTCTCTCTCTCTCTCTCTCTCTAAACCCCCACCTCGCCGCCCTCCGCCTCCTCCTTCTCCTTCTCCTCCTTCCGGTTGCTCTCCGGACTCGAAGATGAGCGGCGACGGTTCTAGGGTTTCGATCCCGGCCGGCGTGCGGCCGACGATCCAGAACATCAAGGAGATCGCCGGCAACCACAGCGACGAGGAGATCTACGCAATGCTCAAGGAGTGCGGCATGGATCCCAACGAGACCGCCCAGAAGCTCCTGCTCCAAGGTCTCCTCTCCCGGTGCCTCCCACCCCCTTCTCTCTTCCGTGCTTGGCCTCTGCGGCCCCCCCAGCTCAGCTTCGATTCTCTATGGGCGTCGATTGCTCGGGACAGCCACGAAGTTTGTTGTCGAGCAAATTGAGCCACGGCGCGCTGGGCTTCGTGGTTTGTCGACGACGGATCGCTTTGTCGTTTTGCATTCTCGATGTTTCTAATCGGATATTCTGGGGTGGGAGATTTGGGGCTTTCGACCTGTGAATTTGACTTGTGTGATTCGATGTTTGGGGTTATGTCGATCGACCGTGGGTGTGGGAGCTAAGTCGTCGATCTTTATGCTGTTAAAAGTAAATTGAGTTTTTTCGTTACTTGGATCCCCGCGTTCTTTTAGATTTGCTTCCCCTTTTCTGCCTAAAATTTTGGACTTGCTTTTAACTTGAATCGCGGATTAGATTGGTCATTTCACCTGAAAAGTTGCTATATGTTCCTTCCCTCTTGCGTAGGGTGTGTTTCAGTAGGATTTGTCATTCATGACGTTGGAATAACTAAAATTTCGGAGCTCCAGTGCCTTTTCTTAGTTGTTTTTATAGAGCAACTTGGTAATAATTCAGTTTTCGGTGTTACTAGCGTGGTTTGTACCTTGACAAGGGAGTGACACCATCTCCACAAACGGATTTACTACGTGTGATGCACTAAATGCTTCCTGATTTTTTGAAGGTCTGGTTGTAATTGACATTTGGCGTTTTTAAAATATGAAGTTATTAACAGATCCTATAATGTGATGTCGTGACGTTTTTTCTGCTTAGCTTAATCTATATAATCCAAATATATAGATGTTTGGGTGAAAGGCTTTCCATGTCTTTGGCCCTTCCTTTGTCTCTCTTGTAATTACAGTATGCATGCATCAATTTGGTTATTTATTCTCAAAGTTTTCCTTTGTGGGCGCACATATACTTGAATGTAAGAAGGGACTTGTTCATGGACTATTGGTCTAATTGTGCACTAGATCATAACTATTCTTTTGGTTTTTGTTTTACAGACCCCTTTCACGAGGTTAAAAGGAAGCGTGACAGGAGAAAGGAGGTAAATCTGCTTTATTTCCTTTGTATATTTTGTTTTAATGCTGTCAGCATCTTTTTTTACTTCTGTTGAGTGAGGAAAGTTTATCAGATCACTTAACATGATGCTTATGTGATTCAGAACAACATTATTTCTTTTTAATTTTTGGTGAAGCGATTAAGATTTATCAAAGTTGCAGACAAGTGATTGCCTTTTAGTTTGGTCTCTCGATTGATCACTACATATGCTATTTCATCATGCAGTATGAATCTTGAAAAGCTAATTCAAGTCTATATTGAGGGTCACATCCAAGTCTTAAGTCATAAAAGGTTATCTCACTTTTTAATTCTAGCTTTGCATGCTGTTATAATGAATCAGTCCTTTTCTTCCTGTTCCGTTAGAGTTTCGAGCAGGATTTGGATTGAAGTGAATCCATAACTGCTGTTCAAGTCCTGTAGGAGTCGTATACAGAAAGAAACTTGCTATTCCCAGTAGGTATCCATTTCAAACTGAATGATTCTTAAAAGAGCCAATACCACAAGAAACTAATATGCAGCCGAAGCAATTAATTAGGGATGTCCAACTATTAAGTTCCTTACTTGTATTATCTTGCAAGGGTCATGGACTGGGATAATTCATGTTTTGGGCAAAATGGACAAAACTGAACCATTTTGGATCAGTTTGAAGCTGAAACCAGTCCCAGAATTTGAAGTATAAGAGTTTCATTGATTTCATACAAAATCTTGTCGATCTTGATTGAGTTTTGGTTGTAACTCAATGGTTTTGACTAGTTGAGAACTGCTCCAAACCTGCCTGAAGCCTTATTTTTCATATAAACAATTGGACGAAGGCTGCATGATTGCCTCTATCACATCCCAAAACTCATTGAAATCTTTTCTGTTTCCACATCTTCCCACAAGTTACCTCTAGAAACAAAAGCTTGATGGTTCAAAATTCTGTCATTGTTTTCAAGATCAACCTAAGGATGTGGGAATATATTTGATATTCAGGTTATTTTCAAATCAATCTTATGTTTCTTGTTTTGTTATATTTGGACTTGGGATTGTGTGACTCCATCTTTACAAGGAACCTTTATAATGGACATCGAAGGCTACACATTTTGGTTCTGTTGCATCTTCAGAAGGGAAACTTCTGATGCCAACATAAAGTACCTTTAATTATTTTGCAAACATTCATAAGACCCATTTTTGGTAATCTTGGAGAATATCTTTACAAACTGCCTTGCTAATATTTGATTTTTTACAAATTTTCTTTAGTATTCTAATTTTAGTATGAATGGTCACTCTAATTGAAACCAAAGTCAAAACTTCATACTGTAAAATTGAGTAAACAATCATTTGCCCTCATATCAGATAGAATTGATTTTAACTCGAAAAAAGATGGGTAGATAATTCTATAATAGATATTTATACCTAGATGTACTTAATTTAAACATCTGATCTATTTGCTAGGTTAAGAAGCTTGTTTTCTGTTCCATATGGATTTTTACTCCAGGACTAAGCAGGTTTGATATTGGCATTTGTATTTTCTTTTTTTTTTCTTAAAGAAAGAAAAGGAAAACAACTGAGAGCAGTTAGGAAACAGTATATAGATCATGATGTAGAAAGATTGAAAATGGACAAATTAGATGTTGGATTCCAACTTTGTTAAGGTTTTTATGCCAAATGTTGAAGACAATTTCTATTCCGTCCAAGTAGTACAGTGACCTCCATTATTTGTATGAGTTGTTTTCAAGTGTTCAGTTTATTATCTTATATGTTGAAATATGTTAAATTTGCTCGCAGAAGTTTTAAGTTTTTGAAAGTATCATTTTTGAAAGTGTCATGCCTTTTGATAAATGCTTCTTCAAGGGTTGACCTACAGCAATGAATTAACATACAGTACCCTGAGGCAAGATTTACTTGAATTTTGGCAGTAACTTGGTTTTTTGATTGAATCTTTGATATCCTTCTATGACAAACCAGATTGAGATCATGTTTTACTTGGAGTTCCATTTTTATGTTTGGGATAAATTTGTCTAAGTGCCAATATTCACTCCTGTGGTGGTTTTACAACTATACAAGTCACTGTTATTATTTTTTTATGTGAAATTAAAATGAGGATTTTCGGCATATGAGTGTCTTTGATAAGTTACTTCACAAGTTAAGTGTTCTGCTATTCTCTACAGAATGTAAGAGAGCCTGCTGATCCTAGGTGGAGGGCGGGGCTACAGGGACGAGGAGGTAGGGGAGGTCGAGGGAACTACTCCTCACGGCCTGTACTTAGTGGTATGTATTCTTTTGGAATATAATTTATGAAGTTTACGTAGCGATTAACCTGATCTGTTCAGTTTCATGTTTATTTCATTGGTACTAATTTGTTTATTTCGTCAAGCTGCTGTTTCAATATGAAGACGCCACTAGCTCATTGTTAGTTACAAAGCTAATTAGCTAACCAGTTTGGTTCAACATGTAACTTCATGCTCTTTCTTCTTTTATTAGACATGTCATGGTAAATTAATTTCAACTTCTTATTTATTTAATATCTGTTGCCAAATCTGATTTTATGCCATCTATCCGTATGCACAACTTTTTTTTTTCACTTTATTAAAATTTTATTATGTGTGAGTTGCATGGTCTGTTTCTCATTTTTGAATCAGGTTTTGCATTATGAGGAACTTTCTAATTTTTCTTGGAAATTCTATTGTAGCACATGTATTGTTCCACTTCTAACGTGTGTTGTGTGGTCTGCATTTTGGTTACTCTTTCCATGTTTCACTGCTACCTATCAAATTTTGGATATAGACCAACTAATTCTCATTGCCTGCTAGATGCTGCTGCTGGAAGAAATCTTACTTCAGGAAAGGTTAATGGAGTAAATCAAGGTTCAGATAAAGGCATTCCATCCTCTTCTTCAAACACTCCTGATACCGAGGTCAAATCTGCAAATTCCATATTAAGGTATCTATTTTTATCTTTTTATTGGCTCTGATTGAAATACACTGATTTTGTCAAGTTAGAATCATGCATGATTTTTCTGATGCTTATGTTGATGATAATATATGTTGTCTTTTTTTGTACTGGCTATATGCCCAATCAATTATGCTGATGTTCGGACACTGATGCCCTTGGAGGCTGCTACCAATTGAGAAATGCTCGACACATATAAGTTAAACAAGACACTCTTCTTCACTACTTAAAAACTCTGGGGTGGATGATGATAGTAATAAAATGGACCATGATTTGGAGATGTCTATTCTGTTTACATTTTCATCTACTGAGTTATGTGGATGTATTACAGTATTCCAGTTAACTTTTCCCCCAACTGGGCAATGGGCATGCTTAGATTTAGAAAACCTGTTTGCTTGTTATGTTATTTTTCTTCTTTTTAAATGTAGAAGTGGTTTGGACATATATTCTTCAATGTTCTCTGGTACGGTCTGTTTTCTCCATTGAAGCAAATGTGATGTTTTACAACTTATTTTACTGCATGTAGCATATTGATGAAGCTACATTTTTCAATAATTGCTAATTTTCAGCTCCATATCTGGTCCAACCGATGGCGCCAGCAACATAGATCATCCGATATCATCGCAGAGGTCCTATGTATCTGGTGTCAGTGGCATTGCTCCACAAGAAGAAAGTTTTGGTGTTGTGACTACTAAGACTGGGACTTCCAGGTTATCTCCTACTGATGCAAAGAGTGCTCCCACAGGTGGACATTCTATACCAGATTCAGACAAAATTTCATCAAACAAAGCAGCAGCACCTGTTTCCGAGGTCTATGTTCCAACCTCAGATCCTTTGTTAGCACCATCTCTTGATGCACACAACCCTGCTGAGCTAGAAAACATCAAACGGATAACAGGAATTCAACACTCAGTTGTTGAAACAGCCACTAGCCATGCTGGATCTCAACATATATCTGGATCCAATTTATCATACATGAGTGGAAAATGTTCTTCTATGAGCAGTCCTTATATGCATGGGAAGGTACCCATGAAACCACATGAATCAGGATCAAATGAACTATCAGAAAAATCTCAAGTTGCACCTTCTTTTTCCACTGCTACAGGCAGTAGACCATCCTCTACTTACAGCAATCGTTCTCAACAATTAAGTGGGTTGCAGAAAGGTAGACCTTGTCACCTTTGTTATGTCACCTTTTTACATACGTTTGGATACGAGTGTTTGGTTCATTATAATGAAAAGTGTTGTTTTGCTTTTGTTATCCCAACCCTTTATTTACTGTACACCATGGAAGTTTGAGAAGTAGCTTAGCATATAAAAGGTTAGTTCTTATGCTAATGATACTGTGTTCCTTAACGACTGCCGGATCCTGCCGGCCAGCCTTCATTCCTGTTCCCAGCCTATAGCAACTCCCTTCATTGGTTAAGTCACCGTGGATGAGCAAACTTAGATGAGTACAAATGTATATAAACTTTTTAGTTTAAGCATTGACAATATGATGGAGTAGGAGCAGAGGAAGAGCTAAGAAGACATCATTAGAAACAATGAGAAAGCATATAATAACTCTGACTAGTGATGTTGCCCTCAAAGGGTCTCAATGACAGGAAAAATTCCATGTTGCTGACCCCAAATAGTTGGCAATGTATGGCTCTGTTTGTTGTTGATGATGATAGAGAGATGGCTTGTTTCTCCCTTTTATAGTACTTCCGTTTTTTTTTGTTCTTCTGTGCTGCCAGCATGCTAAGCCGTGCCTATTGTTGGCACAACTTGTCAGATCAGCACCAATCTTGCATCCTGCTGGCACAGCTTGTGTCGATCTATTTGGTTTTCTGGAACAAATAATTGTTAAATGTGGATCTTAATATCAAATTATCTACAACAACAAGGCCCCAAACTATAAAAAGGAGGAAAAAAAAACACCTGCTTCTTGATTTCGAAGTTCTAACCTATCAAGTTAAGTCAGATTTAGCTGGTCAGAACAAGATAATTTGGTTATGTTGGCCACGAAACGTTGGAATATTAAACATTAGATTGTAATATAAAGGTTCATATTCAGGTTTTGACTATCTAAGGATTAAACCAAGTTACTACTAGGATGAAGTGAAGTCAGTTGTGATGGCCATAGTTTTCAGTCACTGTTCACACATTTTGTAATTCAGATCTTTATTTGAACTAAACATACAAGCTAAAAACACATGATAAGTTAGTCCATCCTGACCTAAATTGAATGTTTATGAGAATTGGCTGTTCGTAGTCTATATCTGAAGGGAACTCCTAAGAGAGAGTCTATACCTGCTAGCATCTCAGGTTTGACATCTCAAGAGATAAAGACAACATCTCATGTAAAAAGAAAAAAAATGAAGCCTGAATATATTTACCAACCATGCCTAATTTTTAGGGGGGTAAAATAAAACATATCTCTTTAACTAAATTAGATCTGCTGTAGTTTGTCTCTACATGAGATGATTTGCTTTTAGTGATAGCTAAAAATTTAATGCCTTGGGAAATTCAATTCTATCTAGGGAATTAGAAGCAGTAGAGGATTTCTGTTCATTTTTAGTAGGATGCAGTGGTAAGGAACTAGGCCCCAAATCATTCTGCAATGCTATGTCAAAATGGCAGCCTATGTATGTTGGAATTTTTATGATGCTGACTAAAATGTTCTAATTTTATAAAGAACTCTTAAGTCTGAAAGAAACTTGATCTGAATGCAGTCTTGGCCAAATTAGCATCTTGAGTCCATTGTTCATTCTTGCATGTTTCATGTTTCTAAAATATATCCATAGTTTTGATAAGACGTGTTGGGCTGGTGGTAGATTATCTTTGTTAAAAACAATTGACATTTTGAAAGAACCTAACACCAATAAACAAGAAAACTAAATTTGTTGATTTTGAGGTTGGTTTGCAAATTTATATGGATTGTGATTTTGATGCATTAAATGACAAATATTTACATCTGACTGTTTTGGAGTATTTTATACTTTTAAGCAAGGTCTTTGATTTTCATAGTATGTGCTGGAAAGGCACTAGCATAGCTCACATGGAATTTTAGAAAAGTGCTGTGTCAGGATGCTCTCGGCAAAACATCATGACAAGTGCTAGTGCTGCACTATTATATATGGGCATTCCTATGTTTATATGTCAAACTTATTTCCAGTTCAATTCTGATAATAGTTTCTGAAAGGTTTGGCAAGTATCAATATATAGTTGATCTCATAATGGCAGTTTTCACATGTAACATGCAGTATAACTCTTTACATACCATTCTGATGCTGAAACTGTGTGTGTGTACAATTCCTTGAGTTTGCATTTATTTGCTACTCTTAGTCAAGTTGGTGAGCTTAAAATTGCCTAAGTAGCATTCTTCTTTTTATTCAGCGCCTGTTCCTAATAAAGAGTGGAAACCAAAATCAACACCTGTAATTGCTTCTCAAGCATCTGAAATGACTGAGACCCCTGATGTACCATTGGCGGCTGAAGCTGTTGCTGCATCACTACCAGCACCATGTTCTGTGGCCTCAGAGGTAACTACTCTGATGTTAGAAAAGAAGCTAGAGGAACTGAAGCTATCAGACAGAAAACACGTCATTATTCCAAACCATCTTCAAGTTTCAGAGTCTGAAAGACATGGGTTAAGTTTTGGAAGTTTTGATCCTAATTTTGAGTTGAATATGGGTTTTGCAAATGGCCCTGCAAAAGACAGGATTGATACACCAGTTTCTGACTCATCTCAGGAGACTGAAGAAACTACTGAGCAGCCATCTCTAAGGTTAGAAACATTAGTTCTGCTTCTTTTTTTTTTTTCACCGCAGTTTTATATACATATGTGCTGTTCTACATATGTGGTTCTTTTTGTTTATTTTAGATCATGATGCACATTTGCATAATCAACTGTTGTGTTTGATGAGATGAAATAACTGTGGGAAAATTGGATAGCTATAAACCTTAATAAATGTGGCCATACCATGCATGGGCACATTAGTGTCTGGTGATGAACTTTTGTACCTTAAAAATGATCCATTTAGCACTCATATTTTGTTTTATATTGTTTTGGTCAATCAGAAAGCTTTTGAAGTTCAATTGCATTTTCTGTTGAATTCTCCTTTCTTTGCTGTACGATAATGAAGAGATCTGTTAGTGCCATGGCACTGTTATAGGTAGCTTCATATTGGAAACTTACCACAAGAATATTAGTTTGTTTGTTAGTCTAGTGGTATCCCAAAAGGAAATTGGCTTTGTTGAACTACATGGCATGCAACGCAGAGTGCCTTTGCCTTCTCCTATACATAAAAAATGCTTCAGTTGCCTTTACAAGCTGCAAGCATACTGTATTTGTTTTAACTTTTAATGAAGGTATTAAGGGATAATTTATGAACTGTTTTTTACTTCACCTTTCTCTAGAAACTCTATATTGGATTATAGGATATTGTTTTTGTATTCTTCTTCACTGTAATTCTGTTTAATATTAGTACTTATGCTTGGCTTATATTGATTTTGATGTCTGATTGTGCCTCTTCTAACATTTTTCTTTTTTGTGCAGCACACACACTACATCCTCAGCTGCTCAAGATGACTTTATAAATCATCCGCAATCACCTGAACAGGTGTCAGATAATTATTCAAGCAATGAAGCTGGCATTCCCTCCAGCATATCTGCTGCTGCTGAATATGACCAATCTCAAAAAGAAGCTGCTTTGGTTCCAGAAGGCCTTCAGAACTCAGTTGTTCAATCTGCACCATCATATCCTTCACTAGGATTGGTGCCTCAAGTGTTAGGAAACCAACTTGGACAGTTTGAAAGTTCAGAACATCAGGCTCAAGATACTTCTCGTTTCCCAAGCTTTCTGGTATGATAACTCCCACGATCTTTATATTGTGTTACATGAACTGTGAAATTTGTTGTTTGATTGAGTGATGACATGACTTTATATAACAATGAATCATATTTCGATTGTGATCAATATATACCAGTCTGAACAAGGATTGGGAATAGACAATATTTAACTTTAGCATGGGTTGGATTTGGTATGTAAACTGTGTTCCTAGGATCTGTTTGATACTACTATTTCTTGTGTTTCAGATTTTTCTCTTTCATGTTGTATTTGGTTGATCTGCTTTATTTTCTGTAATGTTTCTGGTTGAGATGTTGATTCTCTGATATACAGGTCCAGCAAACGTATGACCCATCGACAAGCTACTATACACCATTCTATCGACCTACTGCTGATTCTGATGGTCGTATATCTCCATTTCTTGCACCCGGTGCCTCTATGTACAACAGGAACATTGCAGTCCTACCCTCTCAGACTGGCCAGGCTTCTAATGAGGTTTTCATTCAAGCTTTCTGTTATGATTTACCTTTTTCTAATTCAAGATACAAGTAGGTAGCCTTTTGAGTTATGTCATACTAATCGCAATCATGTTGCTCCTATTGGTGATTGCTTTTGGAAAACCATAGCTCTCCCTTTTATCCTCTTGCCAGTATGTAACAGTAAACATATGAGACTTGTTTGGCTTATTTTAGATGTCCTATGGTTCTAGAACTTTTGTAATTGTATTCCGTGATTCTTGAGTCCAAACCAACTTTTTTCCTTGTCTTGATAACCTATTTTGGCTTTAATATTCTACTAAAATCTTCTTGTTCAGATTCACATCACATATTTGTATTCTGATTAGGATTCCAATGCTGATGTTTTCTTTCCTCCTCCAGAGTACCAACGTCGCCATGCTATCTACCGCTGGCTCAACTCCTCTTGCAACTCAAGCTGCAGGCACCATGCAGGGTTCTGTTGCTATTCCACAGCAGCCAGTTCCCGTCTTCCGGCAACCTGCTGGTTTACATATATCTCACTACCCTCCCAACTACATTCCATACAACCAATATTTCTCACCATTTTATGTTCCTCCCCCCACCCTTCACCATTTCTTGAGCAGTCCTGCATTCCCTCAGCAGCCTCCTACTGGCAGCATGTTTCCGACTCCTGGATCTGCAAATCCTGCCACCCCTGTCAAGTACTCTCTTCCCCAATACAAGCCTGGTGCTAACATTGGTAACTCAACAATTGTTGGAATGCCAGCTGGTTATGGAATGTATAACTCAACTCCAGCTGGCTATACTCCTGATGCTGCTACTAGTGGAAACTCAACTGCCAATGATGATCTCGGATCTTCCCAGTTTAAGGAAAACAATCTTTGTATTCCAGGGCAGCAGGTATGTTCTCTATACTTGGCTAGATTTTATATGTGATATTTGGTTTATGCCTAGTTATTTTGTTCATGCAAAAAGTTCATAGTTCTGCTGTTACTGTAGATGAGTAAACTTTAATTTAAGATTAGAGAGAGTACCACAAATCATAATTAGAAAATGTGATTCATAGAACTTCAAGTTTTAATGTTACTGTTATATCTCCTAAACTCGTATGTGGTGATTAATTTTTGCTACTGCATTTGAATTGGTCATGCAGCTGTTGTTTTCTACTTTTTGTTTTTATCTAAGATTGTGGTAGGCTAGAGTGTTCCTTTTTTGCTGTTTCTTGGGGTCAAGATGTGGAATTACATGTTGTATCCTTAGCTTCAGAGACTGCTCAAAGGAACAAGACCTTATCAGATGAATTACCCTTGTAGTTAAGCTTACTGAAGCAATCTGTTAACTGGAAGAATAAGACCTTTTCTAAGGTTAGCACATAAGATAGTAGGATACTGTGAGCCTGAAACCATGTGGAGCTTGACTTGTAGACAACTACTTGGTAAATGCTGTTCTAGCTGTGGTTGGTGACTTGTTTATTATCTCAGAGACTCAAACCATCGCTCACATCCATTACTATACAATTTGTGTGTATCACATATAATTTTACTTTCCCATATCTTCTCATTTTATGCTAGTTCTTTTATTTACTCCGTTAAAGCTGAATTATGTTTTTGTTGGAGTTTATTTACAATGGACTACTGATAATCTCACTCCTTATGGGACTTGCTATGAGCTTAGCTCAATCAATTTTTATGCAGCAGATTTAGAAGATAAAAACCTTCAAGAAGATACGTTTGATTTTATATGAATAGTTCTCCACTTAATTGTCTGAATACAAACATTTTCCATGTCCGGTCTCTTGACTTGAAGTAGAAAATATTGACCATAGCATATAGAAAGAATATTTTTGAGTATCTGTTTTTGAAAACATGAGAAGCAAGTGTAATATGAGCATACAACATGTCAACAAATTATGGAAGACTGGGATTGTATCCTGCATCCTTATGGAAGTAGATAACTTATACCAAGTATGTACTGTCTCTGCACAGGCAGTTTGGTTTTCTGGTAGTTTTAGTTTTAGTTTTAGTTGGAACATAAGTTTCCAAAGGAGCAATGTGCTTTTCCCGATTAACTTGGTGTAAAGGCATTTGTTTAATTACTAACAAGTGCTTACAATCATTTTTAGCTTGCCATGGAGCAGGGGCATATGACCCCCTTCGAAGTTAAGATGCATTTAAATTGGAAGCAGTTGAGAATGAATGTGAGGACTCACAACGCCACTAAGATTTCAGTATATCCTTCTCAATTTCGGTCCAATTTTCAGGAGACCAGCCACCAATCCAGATCAGCTGGAGTCAACTGAGAATGACTTAGAAAAATTAGGTATAACCAATCCAGGCACTAATGGGAAGAAAAGGGTAAAAGAGAGGTTGAAATAAAGAGAAAGCAGAAGAGGGGAAAAGAAGGAACAGAAAATTTTCTGGAAATGACTGCATAGGTTAGAATTGTTCTGGCAAGTAGGGATCGGTACTTATAGTGAGGAATGATGAATCCTTTGATGCAAGGACTTATATTCCTGTTTAATATAAGCTTTGATTTTCAAAAGGTTTACCTCTTGTTACATGCAAGGCCTCAGTTGGGACTCCCATTCTTCTTTTTCTCTCCTTTGGAAAGGAAACAAATTGAAGTTACATAAAAGATAGTTTATAGAAGTGTTGCACTCTAGCAGTTAGCAAAACCATGGTTTGTCGTACCGATTCTTATTGGTGTACCGATATGTCATGGACAAATCTATATATAGGGTGTTCGATGTAATGTTTGTGTATGTCTGTGTCTTTCGGTTTTATTCATGCTTTGCACAATGTGTAGAGGGCTTGCAATAGGCTTGACAGTCCCATTTTGTTGACTTTTGTGATCGTTTTAGTCTTGTAAACGTAGGTTGTGTGCAATCGTTATGCAAAGGTAAAACTCCTCAAAAACAGACCATCCAGGTAGTCATTTTGGCGGTTTTCTAGCTCTGCACAGTAGTGAGGAGTGTTAGCCAGCACAACACCTAGGAGCTACTCGAGTGGCACATGGTTGGATGGGCCTTTGGGGTAGCGCCTAGAGTTGATTCGTTGCCTTGTTCTGTAGTAATGTTATGTGGGCACTTATGGGGACTTTGACCATGACGGACCACATTGGATCTTTTGTCGCATGACCGTTCAGAGCTTGCAAAGTCTATATTTATAATTTGCATTGCTTATCAAGTGTTCGCTGAAATGACTGCTTGTGAGATCCCGAGTTAAATGTTTCCTCTAACTCGTCTTCTCTTTTGCAGGTCCTTAAGGGACCTGCGGACGGACACGCAATGACACGTCACGACTTAGGCAAACCAGTTAAGTTTGTGACAGATCGACCGTCGGTACGATACGTACTAAATTGTACTAACGTACCAACACATGGTACAGTGGGGCATACAATCATATTAGTGTGAACTACCCATACCGGTCCCTTGTCATACCTATACGTACTATCCATATCAGGTAGTATGCTGTAGTATGGCAAACCTTGAGCAAAACTATAATTTTTTTAATATTAGAAGTTTGTGGATATGGAAAATTATGTTTGTTTAAACAAAAGTAAACATTGATAAAGAAAGTAAAAAAGAGCTGCACTACTTGGTTGGTTAGGCCATATCAAACATGAAAACCTACACTTTATTGTATATCAATTAACTATTCAAAAATGTCTTTTTCTAGTAATAGCATAAGATTCGTGAAATATGTTAAAAATGTTAGATGGTTGAACTGTTGAGCAATAAATAAAAGGTTGAAATTCAAAATTTTAAATAGTTAGATTTTAATTTTAGAGCCTGAGAGACATCTCAATTTTTAACTTTACTTTTGTTTCATGGTAGTATTTATTTTTTAACATAGTTGTTAGACTAACAATACTTTGAATGCTAGAGTGCTAGACAATTACAAAACTATGTATACACAAAGTTTGTATTGTTGAAATGAGAATGTTGAGTTGGATGATAGGACAAGAAGTGTTTTCATTCGTGAGGTGTTGTCTCAATAGAAAATAAAATGACAGAGAATTATTTAATCATGTGTGTAGGAGACGCAGGTAGTTAAAAAAAGTGAAATGATTACTACTAGTGATATGAGACATAAAATGATGAAAATAGAAATTACAAATCACAGATAAAGAATTAAATACATTATATATATATATATATATATATATATTCAAGTAACTGACCCAAAATAGTTGGGACTTTACATATTTGTTGTCATTGTTGTATCTTTGCAAGCCAAAGATTTGTTCCTTTGTTTTTGTAAAAAGGAATATTGAAATTCGAATCCCAGTCACCCATGTTGCCAAGCAACAATCTTAATAATGCCAAAACTCACTATTAATTTATTAACCAACCTCACTTGAGTTTGGCTAACCCAGTTTGATCTTGATTTTTCTTCTAATGGACAATCCCATTCTGGATCTTGAATGCAGTTTTGAATACATTGATCTCGATTCGTTAGTTTCTGACTAATGAAGGTCCAGTGTATTTTCCGTATCAGACATTCTATATACCTCCCTTTTGATCTTCTCTGGCTTGTCTTTTTCTCTTAACTCTCATTCCTGCAAAAGTTGCCTGATTGTGTTCTAAGCCATAGCCACTATCATTTCCTTCAAGGATATATACCTAAATTATATTTCCAACAGTTGAGTGAATTTTGAGACATATCTTTGTCAGAAATATACTGTGTACTGCCACTATCTCTCTAGGGAGTAAATATCATGATTAGCAAAATGATTTGGTCAAGTAAAACAATGATTTTATCAAGTTATGCATTGTACTCAATATCCTTGTATCTGTGCTTATATGACTGTGATCAACTAAGGTTGTTTCACCACAATCATGGTAACAAGTTGATAAATATGCTTGTCTCGAAACTAGACCTGCTCTTTTGTTCAACCAAGGAAAATTGTATGGTGTTTTTTTCCTATTTGTTGGTGGTTGATACTGGGGCTCTTGGTGCATTATATCTTGCCTTGAACAAGTGATGAGATTATGTTGTTTAGCTTCATGGGCCATGTAGTTACAAAATTTCTGGATGTAACTATTCAACTTTGGTGTTCCATAATTAACAGAATTATGTTGATTTTCTTGGAATCTGCAAGATGAGGATAGTTATATAGCTAATCAGGTAACAAACGTGGGATTTAGATAGAGCCATGGGGGCTTGTGCTCTATTGGTCGGGAGCAAATGCACTTCCCTTTTTTTTTTTTTTCAAAATGCACTTCGTTGTTACTGTTATGTTGGGTGCATATACTGATAGCTTGCAGTAATTGATATCTTTTGCTGAGGGAACTTGCAGCACTAGTAAATAAGACTCTCTGCATTATCCATTTTTGAGTCTTTTACGCCAACTTATTTGCTCCTTTGAGAAACTAAGCAAAAAATTTCAATTGTCCTTGTGTACTTGGGACTTTTCTAATATTGCTTTCTTATTTTTCATGTAATAATATGCATGTTGTATAGTTAATATTACATATATGTATGATGTTCTTTTGCATAATTAATGACCTGCCTATGTCCAATCTATATGCATCAATTCGTCTTGGTTATATTTGAATCCTGGTGTGTTTGAAACAGAGCGAAAGTTTGTCTGTCTGGATTCCAGCACCTGGACGGGATATTTCCACCCTTCAGGCGAGCTCTTACTACAGCATTCCTCAGGGACAACACATGACTTATGCACCAACGCAAGCAGGCCATGGTGCCTTCAGTGGAGTCTACCACCCTCCACCGACTGTTCCAGCTTCTTCTGTTCATCCATTACTCCAGCAGTCTCAGACTGTAGCTGGAGCCGTTGAAATGGTCGGCCCCCCTGCTGGTGTTTATCAACAGCCACAACATGCCCAGATTAATTGGACGAATAATTATTGAGAAGATGATGTCCAATCTAAGTTACAGTAGCCAAAGCAGGTGACTGAGGCTACTTTGGATAACAGTTAGAAGATATTTCAAGATGCAGCATAGGGTGGCGCGATCCAAAAGAGTATATATATATATATATATGTCTAAAGGATCGCCATCCTGCATGAAAAAGGGTTCTGGGCTTGGAGTCGCTAGGATTTGATAGTTCAGCTTATACCTGTGACTGATACTGACCATTTTTATGTTAGCTGCGCGGTCTGCTCAGGTTTTTGTTTGCTGCGCATTCTTTCTTGTTTGCTCGTTTCTTTCTCTATCCATTAATGGTACATTGGGTGGTGAAAATTGTGGCTTTCCTTTCCACCATTACTTATGATGAGGTCATAAAGACATTAGAAGATAAAAAGTTAAGCTACTGGATTTTCAATTTTTTTTGGTTTCCCCACTGCCTTGCCAGTAATGTAAATTTTGATAGTAAAAAGAAAAATGTAGAACAGTTAATATTTGTTGTACCTGTGATAGCTTCTGTGACAATACTTCATTGTTGTTGTTCATGGTTTGACAAGAACACATGGAACAAGCTTCTCTGCAGGCCAATTAACAGAGCATGTTTGTGTTCTGTCGATGATCTTTACCCCCGAGGGGACAATCCATGGCACATGGGAGAGGGAGAAAGGAAGCTTTCGTCCCAATCTGATCACTGTATCGGCCCTTCACCACTCGGTAAATGGAGTTTGCAGATTTACATTTATGCAGTGATTAATTGGTTTCAGATTGCTTGGAATAAAGATTGAAGGATGCTTTCACGTTGAAGTGAAATGGCATGCATTTCAAAAGATTGTACCTCTTTTGACACCAAAAACAAATCCCTAAAATTACAAGAAGACAAGAAAATTTTGGTATGTATTGATGAGATCATATTTAGTCATCGATTCGAAGCAAACGGATAATAATAATTAATATTAGCAGATTCTTTGATAAATAAATAAATAAATAAATATATATATATATATATATATATATATATATTCTTTGATAATTATATAAACAGAGACAATATTAATATATTTGATGTCATTAGTAGCATAATTTATGTATTAATAAAAGTGTATCGATTGCTTCCTTGATAGGCTTCTTTTACCTCTATTAATAGTTTTATCTTATACATCATTTATAAATAAAAAATTTAAAACGTATAATTTGTATAAAAAATAAATTAGTAGCATAATTTATCTTTTGTATAAAACATAATATAATATAAATATTCATGCTCGAAATAAATATTTTAAACAATATGTTGGTCTAATGTATAAAGATCCATCCAATTGCCAAAATAAAAATCTCTTTACTAAGAAAAAAACTATAGACAATCAATATTTTTTAAAAGATAATTTATAGAAGAAATATCAATTTTCAATTTTAGAAAAAAAATATGTTTAGGATATGAGAAAAGGATGATTTCTAGATAATATTCATATTTTTGGTATTTTCAAAAGGTACCTCCTTTTTTGTTTTTTTTTCTCAAATGATATTTTAATTTTAAAAATAACCTAAAATACCTCTCAAAAGTTTTTCTGTTAAAAAATTTCACTCATTTTTTACCCTTTTTTTGTTTTTTCAATAAAATTTATAATGCTATTGATGTGTTAAAAATAATATAAATATTATTATAAAAAATAGTATAAATGATATTATATTATATCTGTTTATGTATCATTGCTCATAGATTATTACAATATCATATTTTTAGGTTCATAATTAATCTGATTTGAGATTAAAAGTCTATTCAAATCATGTATAATATTTTCAAATAGGCTATTTTTGTTATGGTAATTAAAACAACACTATAATAAGATAAATATATTGTGATAGACCAAATTCTTATAACATAAATAATTAAAATGGTCTTTTTTTGTTTTTGTTTCATTTAGGTGGATAGAAGTACTCCCTCTCGTTTGCCGAACCGTATTAATGGCGGAAGGAAAGTAGCGTATAATACATTAACAATCCGACCCGCGTGCGCACGCAGTCGGCGATCTCCCTCCTCTCCTCCCCTCCCTCTCGGATCCCATTTCTCTCCACGTTCCCCGGACGATGCAGCGGACGGCGCAGGCGTGGTTCTCCGGCGGCCCCAGCGAGCGCGACGCGCCGCCCACCACCTCCCTCCTCGCCGACTGGAACTCCTACGCCGCCTCCAAGGCCGTCGAGGAAGGCGGCTCATCCTCCCTCGCGGGCTTCGATCTCGAGGCCGCCGTTAGGACCGCCAACGATAAGGTCGCCGGAACCTTCAGCGTGTGAGCCCGCTCTCCCGTCCCCTTTTCCCTCTCCGATCCTTGTCGTTTTTGTTGCTTGGTTTTCTTTAAATAAGGTTGGGATTTTCTGTGGAGTTGAGGTTTGGATCTTTGCTTCGCTAGCTGAGATTTGATAGTTGAGTGTCACAAATTAGATTGGTTAGCTCAGATCGTACGAGATTTAGGGTTAGCTCTTTTCTGCTGATTTCTTGTTCGTTTTTCTCTGAAGGGAGGATGGATTTTAGGGCTTAGGTAAGTACTATGTACCTCAACGAGGAAACGGCTGAATTTGAGAACATGTCTATATTCTCGATGCGTTTAACCTTATCAGGTCATCCAGGATCGACTGTAAAGAGCTTCAGAATGTTAATTATACAGAGGAAATTGGTTTGTTCTTTATCATATTCGAAAATATGTTCTGGTTCTGAGTTTTGATTTATGGTGTATCTGAGTGATAATTCTCAGATGTATATATGGCAAAGTTGGGGATTTAAAGAGTTCGTAATTATTCAATTAACGCATTTCTGGTTGCTGGAATACATTCTTGCGGCGTTTGGAGGGACAATTAACATGAAAAAGGTGGTTGTCAGTAACATGTTAGTAAAATATTTGAATAAATGACATCATTATCGCCCTACGGAAATTTGTGAAGTTGTAACCAGAAGATAAATACGGCATTATTTTTGTCCTTTAATGAGGATTGAAGCTGTTAATGTTGTTGCAAAACAAGTTAGTTTAATTTATTTTAGTGAGTCCGTGTGACATTCTATCTTATGGTTTGATACTTCACAGGGTTTCTAAAGGTGTTAGAGAGCTACCTGGGAGCTTCCAGACTGCTACAAGCAGTGTTCCATCCGGGAAATCACTCATGTACTTTGGACTGCTCCTTGCCAGTGGTGTCTTCCTTGTGTTCATTGCATTCACCATGTTCCTTCCGGTCATGGTGCTGATGCCACAGAAGTTTGCCATTTGTTTCACCCTGGGGTGTGCACTTATTGTCGGTTCATTCTTTGCTCTCAAAGGTCCTAGGAATCAGCTTGCTCACATGTCTTCAAGGGAGGTACAGTTATTGTCACAAAGGATGCCAATTCTGCATGCCTCTTTCTCTTGTTTCACCAATATCAACTGTTATAAAAAACAAAGCTAATCCTGACTTGACTGTTTGTCAAGTTGCTATCTTGGTGGGAGGAATCATTTACTAAGATTCCTTTTATCGTCATAAAAGTAGTATAAACTGTTAGTAGTGAGGCAACAATTAAGTGAAGTTACATTGAAACTTTTTTCGGGTGCTTGTCTTGAAAATAGATTGAACAGTTGCTATTATTATTAAGAAGAAATAGTAATTGAAACTCAGAATGGCTAGTGAAAGTTCTAGGGATCAATGAGTGTGGAAAAATGATAAGAGATGTTAAATTGGCAAAATGAGTGGTGCTATTCTCAGGCTTACTTTCTCAAAATCTGATCTGTGATACGAGAACTTTTGCATCATGGCTAGTGATTTGCTTATATGACATTTGTTATTTTTCAAATTCATGAATATTAGATTTCCTATGAATGGTTGCTCTTGTCCTTTTTCTAACAGCAAATATCTGTTTATAGTTGCAATGTAGTGAGGTTGTTGTTGTTATTGTGGCTCAATATGTGACTATCGCATACAACTCTACTTCTGATTTCAATGTGGAGCTGATTTGTCTCTTCCTGGTTTTGTGTGACCTTGGCCTTTGTTTCATCATAGATCTTTTTCGTTCACCTTGACACTTGAGATACGGAACTTGATTTTAAGATGGTTGACTTGGAGTTTACTATTGTGTAATTCTCATCAGTACGGGTGAAACTATTATCATCCTCAAACTCACAATCAACGATGGGATGGTCATGCATGACACCAGTCCCGATGGTTGTTCTCTGTCTACAATTGTCAATCTCTATTTTCTCCTACTCGCTTTGCCATGATCAACACTCTTTTATCATCTAAATATCATGCAAGTGGCTTGACCCCCTTTTCTCCTCCTTGTCTACTCTTTTCTCCTGATTGTCATGATTTATCCTTCAGCTCTTATCTTTGAGAAACACCAGGGACCAGATCGGATTAATCGGGGACTTTATTCAAAAAGATAGAGGGGAAAAGGAAGATGAGACAACAATGAATCTGTCTTTCACAATTGCTAGAAGTCAAATCCTGCTTCACAAGTTCTTCAGTTTGTCTTACACTGGTTTTAGGTCTGGGTAGGATGCTACCTAATCATATATTGCGATTGGTTAGTTATGTTTTCCTTACTATGCACTTCTATACTTGATTGATCGGAAAATTGAAGTTTTTCAGCTATTAACGACTTATTTATATTTTTAAGTAATTATTGGTCCTGTGTATATTTTTTCATCACTAAATTTTATAATTTACTATTCTTTTCGATTTGTCTTGATTTTTTTTATCCCTGAACTGTTGGTCTTATATGTATGTTTTCATTTTGTCTGAAACAAAATTAAATCTTAGAAGACATGATGGATTTAGACTGACATGCAAATTATATATACTGTTGATTATGTGTAATATTTGTTATCATTTAGTGTTTAACACTTTGTGACCTGAACATGTTACATATTTCTTGAGTTGTTCATGTGTGAGTGAAAGCTTTTTGGTTGTGAGTACAAATATAAATATTTCTTATATTTTCTCAAAGAGTATTTTTTTCTCATATTAAATAATAGAAATAAAAATTCCATAATGTTGATTGATTAGCTTTAAAATTTTGTCACTTGTTCGAGAAATTTTGGATGATAGATAAAAAAAGCACTAATATCAAGTAGAAATGATCTACTGTTAAAGCTGGTCAGAGATGTGTGACGTTATATCTTTTTTCTGCTTTGTTTGATTATTTTCTTGTGATCACAAGTGGATCAATATTTCAAATATCAATCTGATCGGCATGTACGACTGGCCAAGGATCGGTACTGAATCGTATCGCTGGTATCATTGATATCTAGCTTTTTATTTATTATATAATGATACTAAGCAGTACAGCTTGGTATATCGACAGGTATATCGGTTCTGTTTTGGTACAACAAAGTGTCGAAACTTGTATAGGACCAAAATTTTAAGCCTTGTCTTGCGCTACTCAAGGCTTCTTCAAAATTAGATTATATTAATGATGAGTGGATGTCGCATGTGTTTGGAAAATTTGTTCTTTCATAAATCTTGTGCTGATTAAGCTTAGGAGTTGATACTAGGATTAGGAAGCAGGTCTTCAGTTTGAGAAGATTATGCAAAGAATATGAAAGTAAGGTTCAGACATGAAGAATTGTAATCTTTATGGTGATAACATAACTGATAGGTCTTTAAAATGTTTTGTATCTGAAATATATGCTATAAAAAGATTGGAAGTGTCACAAGAATTGAATTCTGGGCTAAAGGATTGCAATTGATTAACATAGCCAATTCTTTCTGGCCGATCTTTGTAGCATTTAAACTTGCCACGATGTCAAGATTACCAAGATAAATTTATTCAAAACATAAACACTGGTTAATTTGCTTATTAGTGTTTTTGTTTATTGTGTTTGTGGTTAATTCAAAACATAAACACTGGTTAATTTAAACTTGCCACGATCTTTGTAGCATTGAATTCTGTGATAACTCATATAGTAGTGTTTTTGTTTATTGTGTTTGTGGGAAGTAATTTCACTTACCCACCTCCCCTTATTCCAGCTATGGTGATTCTAGTCATGTTTTAACATCCTATGTTTTTCAGTTGTTCACTAGGACAACAAGTACATTATCAGTAGCATTTTAGTACTGGTTCCTACCTTATAGTTTGGTTTGACATAACTATTGTTCCAATCCTAGTATCATAACATGGATGTTGATGTCTGTTGCAGAGACTTCCCTTCACATTGGGATTTGTTGGCAGTATGGTTGGCACGATTTATGTGTCCATGGTTCTTCATAGTTACGTCCTCTCTGTTCTTTTCTCCGTCATTCAGGTAATGATCTTCATGGTCCTAAGTTGTCTTGTGTTCTATGACAGATGATGACATGCATAGTTGTGAAATTCAAGATGCTTGTTCACACATTTTTTTCCTCCACAATGTGCTAGTATTCCCTGTGTGAGTATGTCAAGGATTTACTTGCCATGAAGATGAGCATGACAATGCTGATTAGAAGTTGGCACTGTAAGTGCAGGTGCCATGTGTCATTTGACTGTTGCCGCCACACAGGCATGCAAGTAGTGGTATTCTAGGTATTAAAATAAGAAATGTGTAAAGAGATAAAAGAAGAAACTCAGATCCCAGTATTTTAAGTGAACTTTGGGGGGAAAAAGAAATCAAGTTGCTAGAATTTGTCCAAGTGATTGAGCTACCAAATGAACAAAATGCGGTGGGACAACTGATCTCTGGCACTTGGCTCTTTTGGCATCTCCACTAGAGACAAACATGGTGGAATGGCTGCAAGTTTCTATGAGAAAGGAAACTTAGGTTGGACTGTGTAAAGAAATGAACTAATGTTCAGTTTGGTTCAGACAATAAATAAATATGTTGAATAGGAGTGTCGGAAATCCCTTGGAAAAGATATGTGCTGGTCAGCATTAGCCATTAATGGTTGGTTTTCTTTTTCGTTATTCGTTGGTACAAACAACTTTATCAAGACATTATGGATTTAAATCATCCTTAAAATTGGCTCTAATCAACTCCCTCCTTCCATCCATTGTAATTAAACTAGGTTTTAGCTGAAGCCAGTATGTCATGCATGAGCAAAAACTGCATGATATCAAGTTACTTAGATAATGGAGTATATCTGGAGTTCTGTAATATTAATCCTCGACTTTTTTGGTTTCATCTCTGCAGGTTCTGGCACTAGCATACTATGCCATTTCGTACTTCCCTGGAGGATCTGCTGGATTGAAGTTTCTTTCTTCAACTTTAACATCCTCAGTATTCAGGTGTTTCGGCAGATAATTCCATTAGCCAAAAAAAAAAAAAGGCACTCATATTTTTTAAACTCCAAGGTTCTTATCATCTGAGAGCTATTGGATCACTGTCTGTTGCAGCGATCTAAATCTTTTGGGACTTCATTTTAACTAGTGAGCTTGTAATATGGAACAAAACTTGCTAATACTTCCTCATGGTTTTTATCTCTAGTAATTTTGCGTCCATCGATTCCATAGCAGTTTGCTCTTCGGTCTTTGATAAATTGATTTCTTAATCATTATTAGAGTGGAAAACCATTGATGTTATGAGTCCACCTTATTCCCCAATGTGAATCTTAATGTATTATGTGTGAGATATCTGATGATCTCTTCTTGAATCTTCCATCCAGGTAGAGTATATAATGGCATAAACAGAATGGATATCGCAGGAGAGTCCTACGTCGCCTGCCAGGTTACTTCATTCTTAGTTTTTGTGCTATACTTATCGAAGTCGCATTGGGGTAATTGAACTGAGAGAAATTAATTAAGACTGTGAAAAGAAGTGAGGGAATGAGAGAGCAGAATGGCCTGCAATTCCTATTGGAGCCTTCCATTCCCTAATAATATCATATCTGATTTGATCAACCGATTGGGTCCAATCTTTTTCTAATGTAGTCGAACCGGTCCAATCGACACCAATGTTAGAGAGGAGAGGCGAGCCGAATGCGAACAAATAGACTTGAAGCACATAATACAAAACACGGTACAAAATTAGGAGAAATTTAATTGTCAATCTGCAGTGGGCCTCAATGTTTGTGGCTTCAATTAGATCACAATTAATTATATCTTCATGTTTTATATTTCACTTCGATACCTGTCGGTTGGAACCGACAATCGACATATTGTCTGATACATTGAAACATACATACCAAATGGTACATTTCTCCTGTATTCTCATCGTATCAAATACAAAACGGTGGATACTGACCCAATTGGTAGAAGAGATGAATATTTACCAAAAGAAAATATCTTGTTTCCCAAAGTAAAATGCATTACAAAATTGAGATTAATATATTTTCACTGAACTCAAATTTGATGGTTTTTATGGTATTAACATGATATAACCTAAAACTAGATGATTACATACAAGTGTGAGACATCCAGCGGTCTCCATTCCCTGAAACCTAACTTGGACGGCTAGGATCTTTGATCCCACGAGTGATAAAGTCACTCCCTTTTGTTTTGAACTATGCATTTCTCCGCCCATAGTTTAGCTTAGAGTTGGACAACGCATAGCAAATACGGGGGTAAATCTATCTCCATTCCCTGCGTATATACCTCTCGAATAGAAATCAGAGTGCCAGAGGAAGCTTGCAGTGCTCGCATATCACTCCGTGACTGTCTCGGCCTCAAGGAGAGGCTGGAAGTGGTTCTCCGTCGAGCAACGGCTGGTTTCATGGCCTTCTCCGATGCCGGCACGTCTCTATCGGGTTATTAATTGCGGTTCTTCATCTCGCACTTGCGTTGCGGGGGCGGCAGAGGAAACAGGGTGGGGAGCGTCGTTTCTCGGATGATGAGCGGTGGTCGAAGATGGTGAGGAGGAATCTCGTTTTGGCATTACTCTGCCTCACGGTTCTCGCGCCCATCGTTCTTTACACGGATCGGCTCTCTGCCGCCTCCGAGCCCAGCTGTGAGTGCCCGAAAGTGAGGGAGAGGGGCAAAGATGGAGTCTTTTTAGGGGGAAGATGGGGTTCTGATGAGTGATTTACGAGAAAGTCTCGTCTTTTTTACGGTGTTCTCATTGTTTTCTTTCCCTTTTACAGCAAATGACGAGGTCCTTGATGAAGCTTCCGGTCTGGTAAATCTCCTACGCCGCGGAGACATTTTTGTGCATTTCTTTCTTTTGTTTAATCTAAAGAGAGACATGTCTTTTTCCAGAGCTTTGGGACGAACCAGGTTGGGGAACCGCATGCGCTTTCGCAGGTGGCATTCAGAATTCTCTCTCGACTCTTCTGCCTTCGTACACGCGTCTAATTCTCAAATTTTGGTGAAAGGTTTGATTTTTCTACCTCCTGTATCTGCTCGCAGGAGTTGACGAATTCCGTAAAAGAGCCAGTCGGAGTTATATATTCTGATAATTCAAGCAATTCCAATCAGATTCCGACTGATCCGGTGGATGGATTTGCATCATCAACCACCGCAGGTAGGGTTTCCCTTTGATGTGTAAGTATTAGGATTGTTTGCCCTTCAATTGGAAGAATCTTACACTTTGTGGATCTTAATTATAATGGTTACATGGAGAGTTCTTTAGGTGGTCAAGATGATGTGGTTCATTGCTACTCTAAAGAATGGTAGGTCGATGGTGACTGTTGATTTCTCGACTATTTACAGAATTGTCATTGGGGAAATCTGAGGAGCACAAGAGCAGAGTTCTGTCGGCAGCGGTGGATGAGAGGAGTCGGCCGGAGAGGGAGGCTGTGATCAAGGAAGTGACCAATGGGGTGATAGGAAACGGGTTGGAGAAGCCCGAGTCAGTGGAAGAGCACAAAGAAATGGGATCTCAACAAACTATTCCTAATTCTATTCAAGCAAAAGAGGTAGCTTACTAATTTGTTTTGCAGTCAATTCTTACAATACAAATGTCTTTGGATTTTGCATTATTTTCTCTCTCTTTCTCTTTTCTTTTGTAGTATCACATCTGATTAATTATTGTTGCTTCTGAACAAGCGGGAACTTAGGGAATTTACGATTCCAGAGCACATTCTTTGGTGCTGATGACTTGTTAGCACTATTATGCCATCTCATATTTTTTGCTTTTTTCTTCCTATTTTAATTGAATGTGTGATTTGGTTGTGCTTATCGGGCAGTTCTTATCTGCTAGGAAGAAAATTATGGTGGAGTTTCCAGAGCAATTCATTGTTCTATTATCTAGAGGAAATTAAAGTCAACTATAAGCTGCTGCTGATGTAGCTTGATGGAATAGGATCTTATATTTTATTGGTGGCTTCAGAAATATACCTGACCATAGGTGGAAAAGTTAGTACAATATATTTGGCAATCCAACTTCTCCCAGCATTTACTAGTCCTGAAAAGTTACAAGTACCTTGACTTAATCATTTGAGCAAACGTTTTGGACTGTCAAACTACCACGATTGTGTGAACCTACTTGTAACGAACTGGGATTTTGGCTTTTGAACTTATTACACAGGAAGCTTCCTCATTTCAATTCTAAATTTAGGAAGTCGGATTAGTTTGATCAGATCTTGATGGTCCATCGGACTAGTCCAAAAGATGTGATTGATGTTAACTAGGGGTGATAAAGGGAAAATAATGACATGAGTGTTCTCAGAACGCAATCATTTCATTTATGCTTTGTGATATCTGTTTCCAGTCCCTTCTGCAATCTCTGTCTTTGATTTCTAATTATGGTGCCTGCAATGTGCGTTGCTTTGTTTACGTGTATAATGTGTTTACAGGAAAATGAATCTGAAAAGCAACATAGACAGACATCTCCTAGGAACAATCCAGAAAAACACCAGACAATCCTGAGAAAGAAGAGCAGCAACATGACAATTCCTGATGCTAGGGTCAGGCAGCTCAAGGACCAGTTGATTCGTGCAAAGGTCTATCTTGGCATTGGGCCCATTCGAGCCAATCCTCACCTTGTAAGGGAGTTACGCTTACGTATAAAGGATACTCAGCGTGTACTTGGAGATGCAACCAAGGATTCAGATCTGCCAAAAAAGTAAGTTTTTTCCATTTTTTATGGGAAATATAATATGCAAGCCTTATACATGCATACAGTGGTTATGTGTTTGTATGCACATATATGGGGCTTATGCTTGCTTCTCTGATATTGATGACCTTTTTTTCCCAATTTTGGCTAATTTAGCACATATGAGAAACTGAAGGCAATGGAGCTAATTTTGAATAAAGGCAAGCAGATTCAAGACGATTGTGCTGCTGTTGTAAAGAAGCTCCGTGCTATGGTTCACTCTAGCGAGGAACAGTTACGAATTCATAAGAAGCAGGAATTGTTTCTAACTCAACTTGCTGCTAAAACCATTTCCAAAGGTCTACACTGTCTTCCTCTACGGCTTTCCAACGAGTACTTTTCCCTGAACTCCAGCCAGCAACAGTTCCCATATCGAGAAAAGTTTGAAGACCCTGATCTCTATCACTATGCTTTGTTTTCGGATAATATATTGGCTACAGCAGTGGTGGTCAACTCAACTATATCTAACGCCAATGTGAGTGCTCGGCTATCATCTGTTCTGTCTTTCATTTTAACAATTAATCTCAATTTGCTTTGGTTAGTTAAAGAGAATATATCTTACTTGCAGAACCCTGCAGACCACGTTTTCCACATTGTAACTGATAGACTGAACTATGCAGCTATGAGGATGTGGTTTCTAGCTAACCCACCTGGAAAAGCCGCCATTCAAATTCAGACCATTGAAGAATTTACGTGGCTAAATGACAACTACAGTCCAGTATTGAAACAGCTTAGGTCCCAGTCCATGATTGACTATTACTTCAGGACTCATCATGGTACTGCAAATTCTGATGCAAACTTGAAGTACAGAAACCCAAAGTACCTATCCATTCTAAATCACCTGCGATTTTACCTACCCGAGGTCTTTCCAAGGCTCAGCAAGGTGGTGTTTTTAGATGATGATATTGTTGTACAGAAGGACCTGACTGGCCTTTGGAAGGTTGACATGAAGGGAAAAGTCAGTGGTGCGATCGAGACATGTGGGGAAAGCTTTCACCGATTTGACAAATATCTCAATTTCTCAAATCCTCTTATTGCCAAGAACTTCAATCCCCGTGCTTGCGGTTGGGCATACGGAATGAATGTGTTTGATTTGGATGAGTGGAGGAAGCAGAAGATCACACAAGTCTATCACTACTGGCAGAACCTGGTAAGACATGATGCCTATACAAGTTGCTGAATTAGTATACTTGAATCATCTTTAGAAGGGACCGGGCAACATTATAGGCCTTGATGATGAGCTTAGGATGCTGCATTGGTATGAAACAACCTTATAATGGCATGTGGCACATATCATGACTATAGCACAGTGTGATAAGCGTAATAGTTATATTTTTCTTTTTTTCTAAAATTTTGGATGAGATGTTTTATTTTGTTTAGAACCTAAAATAACTTTCAAATGGACCAAAATTATACTTGTTGCGACTGTGGAGCAGCATATTTCTAATCTGTTTGTTATCTCTGTTCTCACAGAATATTGATCGACAGTTATGGAGATTGGGAAGTCTTCCTCCTGGCTTAATAACATTCTACAACCATACAATTCCCATTGATCACCGGTGGCATATTTTGGGCCTTGGGTACAACGCACAGGTGGACCTGAAGGACATCGAATCGGCTGCAGTCATCCACTACAACGGAAACATGAAGCCTTGGTTGGATATCGGCATGCCTAAGTATCGTGGCTATTGGTCCAAGTATGTAAACTACGATCACATTTTTATACGGGACTGCAACATCAATCCTTGAAGAGTGGATGTGGCGCTTAAGCATCCTTCCAACCCTCTCTTGCATCTTCTGAGTTCTCAGCATGGAGTAAACATGTTCAGCTCAATTTTGCTCTCATTAATAAGTGCTCTTATTCGTCTAGTTTTTCTTATTCCCATAGTTTTTGCCATCTGCACAAGTGCAGTTGTATTGTACATGTTTCATCTCTAATATCAGACACCATGGTTTACATCTTATAAACTTTCATTGAAATTACTGTAAGCCATATTGTTTCTACTACCCTGAGATTTAACTCTCATCCTTATATAACATGTTTCTTTCCCCCTAGTTTTCTTGGTTTGCTTATCTCAGTTGAATCTAAAAAGCAGTCTGCTTTTGGAAAAAGCTCAAATGTCTGCACGATAGATATTTCAGTAAAGTTTCTTGCTGAGTCAACAATTAAACTTCTTGAATCCATTGCAGTGGGTGTTTCTCTTTTCTTGCGCACTTGTAAAGCAGCCTTAATGATCTCTCAACAATACTTGTCTATTCAATGAAGGTGTTTGATGTAATGCCAATGCCTTTTTCTCGTGTTAATTGCATATGTATCTACAAAGTACCATTGGAACAGTTTCATCAAAAACCCAAAATGAACAAAGATTTTTTATTAGAATCACCAACCAAATAAATTAGCAACTATACTTCTATATCTAAACAAAAGACTAAAAAAAGAGGGGCTAAATCCTAAAAAATGGGATCATCTGACCCAGTGATGTTAACCTCATGAGAACGCATTCACCACCAGAGGACTTCTCACGTAGTGCTTACCGTCGGTCCATGTCAGGCCACCAAAGACATACCCTACACCGACACTCTCGCTACGCGACCGCAGCCTGACTTGGAACGTCTTCTCCTCCCCAACCTTGGCAAACTCGAGCGTCTGCGGCTTCACCGAGACGTGGATGCCGAAGGGAGCCTTGATCCTCACATTGTACGTGCCGGGCGTGCCGACGTTCCTCACGGTGCGAGAGACGGTGAAGGACTTCTGGAGGTTCGGGACGGTGATCGATGGGTAGTTCAAGTCCTCCGCCCTCATGGTCTTCGACGGGCAGGCGAAGCGCTTGCCGATGAATTGCGCCATGTTGGAAGCGTTGTACCCGCGGCTGCACAGGAAATGCACGTAGTCGGTGAAGGTGATGTCGTACACCAGCCCGGGATCCATGGCGCGGTTCGGCCGCACATGCCCTGCGCCGTAGTCGAACGGTATGGCCTTCTCGCGGTTATCGTCCTTCATTGGCGTTCTCGTGTTGTCTCGAGTTCTCGCTGCCATAGAATTCAGAACTTCAATTAAGATCACGCAAGATAGAAGAGCAATACGTTCCGTTGTTGACGATCTCTAACCGGTTGTCATGACGGCCGATCTGATAACAGCAGGACTCCAACGAGGATGGAGCTTCTTCAGCAGGCCTGCGACGCCGGAGATGTGAGGGCAGGACATCGACGTGCCGGACATGACATTGAATCGGACGCGTCGCTTGTCTAAATCCAGCATGGTAGGTCCGACTTCCTCGGTGAAGGCTGCGAGAATGTCCACCCCTGGCGCAGTGATATCAGGCTGCAATAGCAAGAAGGAATCGTAAGCTATGCAATTGAGAGGAAACGAACAAAGAAAGGCAACAGATACGACCTTGAGAATCTCGGGATTGATAAGATTGGGGCCTCGAGATGAGAAAGAAGCCATGGCCGGCGCTGGTTTCACTCCCAGAACTGTAGTTACAGGTGAAATGGTAGCGGTAGGTGACCTATCAAAAAAGATCGAGTTCAGTGGCCAGAAATGACTCGTCGAATTCCTGACAAGATCATACTTGGTAGATTTCAGATAGGAACTCAGTCTCAGAGCATCTTTGTATGTAATCATTGAAGCAGGGAGGAAGTGGGGATCCGCAAGGAGGCTGTTCCCTTCCTCATCGCTGTTAGCGAGGATCATCCCCGCCCCGCCGGCCTTCAAGACGTCGACGCCCTTCTCCACTCGTGCAAACGACGTATCGCGCGTGCAAACTACGATCTTTCCTCGAACTTTCTCGGGGTCGAGTGTTCCGGGGTAGCACCAGCCACTGCAATTCCCACAAACAATTGTTCATGCTATGTATGGAATGCGAGCAGGACTACAGGGGAGCAACTCTGTTCTTACGCTTCTTCGGCGGATGAATTCGGGCGCTTCGCATTAGAGCCATCGATCAATGGATAGGGCTTATGGGCTGGAAGAGATTTCGACGAGAGACTCACTCCCTGAAAGACGACGCGTTCCAACTGGTCGAGTCGTGTATGGAGCGGTAATCGATCGAAGACGAAAGAAGCAAACCTTTATCTTCTTGTTGCTGCCGAGAGTGACGAGGGAATAGAACTCCCTGTCGATCGTGCTTGCTCCTACGGTGAATATCCATGGCGCAATATTGGAGACCGTGCCAGGGGTCGGTCCGTCGTTGCCGGCGGAGCACACGACGGTGATTCCTCGCTGCACTGCATGGAACGACCCCAAGGCGATGGAGTCGAAGATGTACTCATACGGAAGACCACCTACTGACAACGAGATGACGTCGACGCCGTCGTGTATGGCGTCATCGAAGGCAGCAAGAATGTTGGCATCGGCGCAGAGCCCCCAGCACACCTTGTAGGCGGCGACCCTCGCATGGGGCGAGCCACCTCTGGCAGTGCCGTTGGCTTCGCCGTAGATGTTTGCGCCGCGGACGATCCCCCCTGCGGCCGTGGAGAGCGTGTGGGTGCCGTGGCCCTCGCTATCGCGGGGAGAGTACTCTACCGGCGGCGATGCACTGTTGGCCTGATGGGACAAGTCATAGAACCGGGCACCAATCAGCTTCCTGGATCACCCAAAAGGAAGCTTTAGCATCGCGTATAGTCTCTGCAATAGAACACCGAGAACCAGGAAGAAGAAGAAGAAGACCTGTTGCAGTGAAAGCTGTGCTTGGTGCTGTTCTGGCAGATCCCTCTCCATCTCTTCGGAACCGGCCCATATCCTTTGTCATCAAAGCTGTCGGATTCAGGCCACACACCTTTCGAATGAAAACGCAGCTTCGTCAAAGATAATCCAAACATAAAAGAAGGAACAAACGAAGGCATTGAAGGTATGGACGAAGAACCTGTGTCGAAATTGGCTATAATGACGTCGTCGCCATAGTTGGCTTTGGCCCAAATAGATTCGGGGTGCGCCTTCCCCTGCCTGTTCAAGAATCCGCCCATGACATCCCATGATCTGGTCGTGTGCAACGTCTTCATGGTGTTCTCGAACACCGATATGACATCGGGATGCTCTGCACGGAGACAAGAGAATCCAAGATCACAAACCGTCAGAAGGAAGAGCTCAATGCGAGACAAGAACTCTAACCGGAGATCAGCGTCGCTTCTTCCTCTTCCAACATTGCAGCAAAGCCATTGATATGTTTCGTGTAGGAGTAGAAGATTGCAGAGCGAGCCAGTTCCTCGCTGTGATGAAAGATATGAACTTTAGATCAGCACTAGAACTGTTGTTTTTGGATCAGAGTAACAGTAATACCTTCCAAAAGTGGATCCCAACAGCTGATAATGAGACTGAGTTGCACTCTCGAAGTCTGCAGAGGTGGGATTGGCGCCATGAGAGTGCCCGCCGAGGTACACAATATAAGCCTGGCATCACGTCCCACGGACAAACGTCAGCAGATCTATCTGCGTGGTTATATATGGTTACGGGACGTCGTCGCTCACCTTCTTGGTTGCGAGGACTGCCGGATTCTGCAGCGAGGAAAGGAATGCGATGGCGAGAAGAAAAAGATGAAGCTTCGTCATCTCTCGCGATTTATGTTCCTCCCCTGTTTCCTCGTTACTAGCAGCGCCGATGCAGCGTCTATATATATAAGACACTTGGAGAGTCGGAGTGGATGCACGTAGATAGAGCAGATACAGTTCGTTTGGAGAGGCTACTGATGAGGAGATCCTTCGACGGAGGAATAGGGATGAAGGTTGATCTGTTATGGACTCTTTCCAGGATAATAGAATTAGATGGAATCCTCAGAGGAAACATATTAATTGGCTCTCGCCATTTATGTGCACCGAAACTGAAACTGGAGAGAGAGAGAGAGAGTGTGTGTGTGTGTGTGTGTGTGTGAGAGAGAGAGAGAGAGAGAGAGAGAGAGAGAGAGAATCCTCAAAGCAATCATATTAACTGGCTATTTATCTGTACCGTGAGAGATTTGGAATTTTGGCTGAATTATCATTGCATATTGTATTAATTCCTTTGGTGAAATTTCTGAACATATTATCAGGATTGAAAGGAAATATGAAGTCAAGACCTCATGAAGAACATGTCTTTGTCTTCCCAGACAATTTTGCTCTGTGCAGATTATTTTTCCCTCTCACTCTGTGAGCAGGGATGCTGCAGTTCATGTTTTGCACTCTGTAGAGAGAGAGTGAGAGAGAGAGAGAGAGATCACAGATGCACCAACTCGAGTGCAGAGATAAAGTTGTTACTTTGAGTTCATCTCTTGGGTAGAAGACTTAGTCGCCAATGATCTGTCGATTAATCTTATGACTTATAATTTCTGGCCATGCCTGATGTGGGCACAACTTGCTGCATAAACACCATTGACATCTCCCTGATGATGAACTTGCAATGTTCTGTTCCAGAACAGAGGATGAATTAGTAAGAGACAGCAATAAAATGAAGAAATAAGAGGCATTAATCGCTGTTTCTTAGTGGTTTAAGCTGGCACATTGAGATATATCACCTTGATCTACATGTCAAGGAGATGAAGACTCTTCACCCTATCTTTGTGTGAGTAATGAAGGCACCACATGAATATTTAAAGTCGACATGCATGCAATCTTCTAGTATAACATATTCATGTTCGATAAGCACCACAAAAACTTCCAAGCTGCTTCCTACATTACAAGGAATCAACAACTCTCAGATAAATTATAACCCAAAGTGATACGAACCACAATGCACAAAGGATGCCACATCCGAGACAACAACCGCTACTGTCGCTAATTCCAACAAGAAAGCGGCAGTCACCTACCGAGGGATCGAGAAATGTAACGATCCCAAGCCCATCAAAATCACAGCTCTTTGATTCTTGCTTCTGTAGCTGATAGTAGCTGTTGAAGGCATAAGAGATGTTCCCCTTCTCGCCGATCGTGTTGCATGATCCTCCATAGTACAGAGTTGTGCAATCAGCAAAACTGCAAGCGAGCTTCATGTGGTTCGTGACACCGGTGAGATCCTGAGATGGATTAGCAATGCACCACCTTGATGGAAGGTATGGAACATTCCTCGCATTCTTCAACCAACCATTACCTAATCCAAGGTTCAAGGGGTACTTGGCTTGGCCATCAAAAGAGTAGATTCCCCAGTGCCGTTCGAAGTTTCCAGGTAGGATGTTCTTTTGTTCTTCATCGAGAAGACTGAAGAGATATATATCGACTGGAGGAATCCCAGGCCTCGAAGGCGTTCCCTTGTTGCTCAAAACATGACTGATGAGGCCTTGGTTAAAAGCCCTTGCAGCACTTAGATTTGCGCTTGGTGCTCCCTCTGTAGGCCAGCCCACCTCTCCGACGGCTACGGGCATTTGCCCATATCCAATTTTGCTGAGAGCAGCCACCAAGGTATCGAAATTACCATCAAAGGCATTGTAATAGACATTCTGGCCGTCGACAACAGGGTGAGAAGAGCCCTCGAAAAAGGCATAGTCTTGTGGGAAATCTGCACTCTGATAGAGACTTAGAAAGGGATAAATGTTGACCACAAAGGGAGAGCCATTTGAGTTAAGAAAAGAAACAAGCTGGGTCATTATCTGCGTCAGCTCAGGCCGAAACACTCCTTGAGAAGGAACTGAAGCTGACTGATAAGCATCAGCATTACAAGGGACTACTAGCTTTATATAGCCTGCAAGATTTGCTCTAGCTAATGATTGCTGAAGGTTGAGCATCGCTGGGAGAACTAGTGACTGATATCGTCCTTGATAGTTTGTGAGGAAGGGCTCATTTCCAACTGCAACATATCTGACAAGAGAGTGATTTGAGTTCCAATATGACATATTACAAATGAACGTAAGGAACAAACATCTGGATAATCTTATCCTTTTTAAGGATTAGCTAATCCAATTTCAAAAATGTAATACGGAGCCAATAAATTTTCTTAGCCAACAATGGATATGTCCATATGCATATGTGTAAATTCATGCTAGTGAAAACTTTTAATTATATTAAATGTTTAAACTTAACACAAGCCCACTAACTACAATTTGAATGTCACAAAGTTCCAGTGTACCCAATAACATACCATCTAGGTTTCTTATTAAGAAGCCCATCTACACAATCAACAAATGCCTATTCTTCTTGATCATGGATATCCTAATCCTTCTATAATGAAGTTCAAGCAATATACATCTGCTGACTTCTCGAAACCCTCACGATCATGCCCTTGAGTTTAGCATTCAAGATTATTTATGCACCGAGTTTCTTGACTCATTCTTTCCTTTGGGCCTAGTTCTTGATTTGAGACTCACATTCTCTCAAGAGGCTTACTCAAGTTTGAGCATAACTCTTGATTTTGTGTTCTTTTATGGGCTTCATTCTTGAGGTGAGACTCATTCTATCTAGATGCTTATTACCAGTGTTCAATGTTGACCCCGAGTTTTATGCCACTGAGCAACTGCTTATTTAGATAGATACAAGAATATCTACTTTGTTTTTCCTTATCCTTAATTTCCTTTTTCCAATGACAGAGTGTCCAATTAATTTCAATCATTGTAGCATGTAAACCATGTCTTTGAGGCAGGGCATATATACATTCGATCATCTAGCATTCTCCCTTTTAGTCATATTTCATGATCAACTTCTAGCCATGTTCTCCTTATACATAATCACTTTACCTGTTGTCGACTCCAATCAATGTGGTATATAACCCACATTCCTGAGGCAAAAAGGACTGCTAGATATGAATGCATCTTCACCTTGCATCTTTACCCATGATCATATATGCATCAAGACTTATCGCAAGGTCCACTTAACGATCATAAACCCTTTCCGTCGGTGATGCGGCTACACCATGAATGTGGCATGTAACCCATATTCAAAAGGAACATGAATTACTGCATACATATGTCTATCATGCATCCAACCTTTATTTATACATTCCTCAACATATTAGATACATATGTCAGTCTTGCATCCATCCTTCAATTTTACATTTCTAACTTGTAGCAAGGTTATCAATAAAAGTCAAAATCTATTTTACCTATGATAAAAACAATGCCTGATTAATTCCAATGACCTATGTACCTAAGGCAAAAGGATCACTATTACATATGCACATTTGCATCAAGCACCCCTTTATTTGATCATACACATATCCCATGCTAAAGTCTTGTGTGTCCCTTTGCATCTTTACTAGTGAAAGGTACAGGGCATTTCATCTGGTAATTCAATTATTTCTTTCCATATGCTTTATCAAATATTGTAAGCATAGTAGATTAAGCGTTTTATATGAATCTTAGCAGACAAGTGTATGTTGAATAATTGAAGAACAGTTCTGGACTTTGTTAAAACTACGATTCCCACTTCCTCAATCCTCAAAAACTTCACCTTTAGCGTCCAGAATCAGAATGCAACAGAAGCAATTGCTCAAACAGTTGTTCTACGATCAACAACAACGTACCTTATATCAACGCCGCCTTTAACCAAGTACCTCGACACATTCTGACCGACCCATTGATCAGAAGCAGCGATGGAAGACGCCAAAGCCGCCAACAAGTCATTGGGGATCCCCACCATCACCTCGATGCCGCTCCCCCTCAGGGCCCAGAGGACCTCCGGGTCCGCGTCGAACAGCTTCACCTTTCCAATCTTGTTCTCCCTCATGAGATCCACCACCACGGAGGGGGGGAGCTTGTGGGAGGACAGTGTCCCCCAGTTGACGCCAATGGCGGAATCCACAAAAAGGAGGCATCTTTCAAGGAAAAACCCCCAAAACAGAGCCTTTGCCAAATTGGAAGCTGCCATTTCCACCAAAGATTTGATCTTTATAGCGATATCAAGGGCGCAAGCGGCATTGGAGTGGATCTGGAGCAAGGTTTTGTGGAGACGGAGAGAATGAGCGACGGTTCTGGGCTCCAGTGAGGTTGGTGGTGGCAAAGAGAAAGAGACAGAGGACCAAAGCCGAAATTAAAACTGAGAGAGAAAGGAAAGCCGAAGGAATCAATGAAGTGAATGGTACGTTATACAAAAGGAATTCAGCGGAGGAATCTTACAATCCAACAATCCCTTTGACAAGTGGTGAATCATTAAGATCTTGGAGGTCATCTGATGGTCTTGGATCGAGTTTGACAAGGTGATTAGGCAATCCATTACAGCCAATCAATGTTGGCCTTTTGTGAAGAAGACAAGGGCCACCTCGTTAACGGATCATTCTTCTGCAGGGGAGAGAGTAAAGATGATTTGGGTTTGGAGTCGCAGACAACTCCGATGAGGTGGATTAAGAGCTGCAAACTGCAAGGGATTGGCTGAGGTCTACTTGCCATGAAAGGAGAGGAAAAGAAGAGAAAAGATGTGAACACAGGAACTCACTTTACTGCATAAGGCTGCATATATCGCATGACAAGTGGAGGAAGCGAAAGGTGGCAATCTGCCGACAAAGAGAAAGCATTTGCATGTACTGAAGATTCCGTTGGATGTGCCCTGTTTTGTTTCCTTTCATCTGCTGCGGAGTATTCTTCTCTTGCCTTTACTGTGAAAGAGCTCCGACACTGCATTCCAGGGTCAATCTCATTCATTTATTTTTTTTATCATGGAATTTTATTTTAAGGGTAAATTCTCAGAAAAATATTAATTTTTTTTTACAGAACATCCCTTTTTATTTTATTCTCACATAAAAAATTTTATTTTCTAAAATATGAAATTATGCTTGTGCAACCAACCTCTCTTATTTTATTGTCGTATAATAATTCTTGTTTTCTAAAAGATGATATTATACTCGTACAATCAACCTCCGTCGCCTTCATACCGCAACGAAGCCTTGTCGTCTTTCATCATGTCGATTGCCATACCCTCTTCATGCATCATGT